ATTCCCCATATGCTAAATATTGGAAAATATCTGGGAGAGGAGGCCCGACACACACCATCTATTTTTGTGTATTTTAAAACCGCTTTCGTCAATATGAAAGAAGTTGCCTTTATGCCGTGACACCTTGATTTGCTATGCCCGCGAATTGAATACGGCTGTGTAAACTTAACACCATCAGTTCTTTCAGAATCGGGAAGGCCATCTGCGTGCTGTTTGACACCGGACGAGATTTCAGATTTAGGGCTATTCTTTGTCGTATGATTTTTTTAATAGGATATTACGTTCGGCAGCTGTAACACCAGTTATAATGTTAAACCTGAAAACCTACGAAGTGTGATTGTCAAATAAGGCCCTTCGTACATTAAGCGCCTAGTCATAGTAGAGTAATCGTTTCTTCATGTCGAAATGATTGCATGCTGACACGAAATTATTCATTTTCAAATATTTCTTATTGAAATGCCAAAAAATTTTTTCTTCCAACACAAAAAAGTAAACAAAGGCCGATTTCAGAATGGCAAGAGCCTTACAATGCTCAGCGTTTCGTTTCATGAAGCTTTTATGATTAGGCGAAAGCATGATTATGATTCGTAATGTACAGAGCTTCATTTCACAAGTGTTCGGCGTAAAAGCTTTATACTTTAGCATGGCGAAATAAATACACTACTGTTATTAGGCGCTTAATGTGCAGAGTGCTTAATGTTGCTTTGAAAAATCTTAAAAACATGAAATTATTTTTATTTGGTACTTCAACTAATGTTGTTAGATATTAAAAGAACAACAATCAGAACAATCTCAAAGATAAACTTTGTTCCTCGTAATTAAGATTTTTTAACTTTAGTGCTTACTTTTGTTGAATTTTCACAAAAATTAGTTTCTGACGTTCGTAAGGATCTAGCATTCTGATCGACGAGACTTCCGACCTGGGAATCTGAAAAGTTGGGGCATAATTCTAAGTTTCAGTGTCACAATATCATCACTTCTTCAGACTAGCCTAAAAAATATTGTATGAAAATATCAAGAATTTAGATATTGATCCTATAAAGTTAGGTCTTAATTTAAATAGGGTGAGCTCAGAATAAGTTAATTGTAAAAACAAATATTTTTAAAGCAAGCTTTACCAAATATATCGACATATGCGCCACCTATCGGCAATATTTTTAGTGGAGTGCCGAAGGATCTGTCTGCGCTCGGGATAATCAACTGGCGCAAATTCGCACAGGAGAGAAGCAATTGGAGAACAAATCGGACAAAAAATACGAGATTTTCAAATATCTCGACTCCTGCGACACCTATCGGATTAAATAAGCCAAGTGTGAAGTTTCAAGTCTCTAGGTCATAGGGATGTTGGACATACATACATACAGAGCAAGTTAAATAAAAGCTTTATGGTGAACATCCCTATCGTTTCAAGCTGGTGGTTAAAATGCGTACATGTGTACCTATAACCAATGACCACTATAGCTTTCATCTACAGTATCATTTTATGCATTTGTAATTTCTATTGTGTCATAAGTAGCTAATTGAAACAAANTTCAAGTCTCTAGGTCATAGGGATGTTGGACATACATACATACAGAGCAATTTAAATAAAAGCTTTATGGTGAACATCCCTATCGTTTCAAGCTGGTGGTTAAAATGGTGGTTATAACCAATGACCACTATAGCTTTCATCTACAGTATCATTTTATACATTTTTAATTTCTATTGTGTCATAAGTAGCTAATTGAAACAATGACATCATTATTACGCCAAAATAATAACACAAAAATACAGAATTGTTTCACTGTGCACACCTAAAGTCAGCTGCTGCGGAAACACAGCGTCGCAAATGGAAAATGAAAAAGCGTAAATAAAGCTGTTAAGCCACACTGCCAAGAGCGAAATTACTCCTTCGAATTGCACATACATACCTACTTACGTGCGCTAATGTGCGACAAAATTTTCGAATTCTCCCCAGCAGTTAGCAACGCCTATAACAAATAATAAATTACGCAAGCATTTTTGCTGAGGGATATTTCGGAATTAAAAGGGGAAATTAAGTGATTCTCAAAAACTCAAGTTGCGGCGTACACCTCAAAAACTTTCAATTGAAGCAGTAAAGAGGCTTAAGTACCTACCCGAATGGTTTCCCGCTTTTCATAATTAACCTCTTTTGGTTTGTGGTTAGAAGGCAGCGCGAATTTCGAAAGCGGAATTTTCGCTTAAACCTCAAAAAAGTCATACACCGCAGCTGTGTCTTAATTGTGATGAAAGTTGTGTGGTATGCGTATATGTATGTATGTATGTGTGCATATGAGGTTAACGAAACACTTGCCATTGAGTAAAGCTAGTGTTTTTTTGGCTGCATTCTATTCAAATTTAAAAACGTGCGTGACGAGCAAAGCGCTCCTCTTCAACTCACTATTAGCTTTAACCCAAGTTGTCAAGTTGTGTTTGTATTTCAATATATGCATGTACGTTAGGGTTATTAAAAAAAAAAGTGAAATGGGAATTTTAATGCTCTCACCGATAAAAGTTATACCCCTGTTGTTTTTTTGGAAATCAAAGAATATTTAGAGGTCGCTCAAAAAAATAAAAATAAATTTTGGAAAAAATATTTTTCGTAGAAATGTTATCGAATTCTTGAAAATCAATATTTTGTGAACTTTGTTTCGCTTCAGCAGACTTTCAATAATAATACCCAATTGCCTACTTCATCAGTTTTTAACATTAAATATTTTTTGAAGGACCCCTAAAACCCCACAAAAAGTGCAATGGGTGAACCCATAAGAAATCGCTAGTACTAAAATGCGGTAAAACAAATAATGAGGTATTATTGTAATAATATTATTGTCGGAAGTCGCCTAAAGAGAAACAGATTTTGAAATCGAAAAATTTAGACTTTCATGCATTCTATACCATTTCCATGAAAAATGGTTTTTATAATTTCTTTCGGTAGAGAACAATCCTTGAAAGCATTAAAAAACCGAATTTACTTTTTCACAAGAATTTTTTAACCACCCTAATGAACATATGTACATACGTTTGTGCATACATATGTATCTCTTTCTTTCGCTTCAATAAAAATGTAATTAAAACTGTCATATCGTTCCGCTTTAACTACTAAAATGCCGTCATTGCCTTGAGCATAAAATGGCTGCGCGTGTGAATTGTCGCACACCATCGCACAAATGCAAACGTCACTGCTACATGCTCATCACTTGTGTATCACAGAGGTCTCTTCTACGTATGCCTGTGTATGTACTTACTCGTTTGGTTTAGTTATCAGCTAGCTTTTGCGCGTGTGTGACCTTCAATGGCAACGTCGCCTCTCAAATAGCTGCAGCTGCTAGCTGTTCTACCGTACACTTCTAGCTCATTTCACACGCACCAATCGGCGGCGACGCTATTATCCCGCTCACAAAGGTGTCAGGTAAAAGCTGCAATACAGCTGACATTGACATGCTCACCCAAAAAAAAAAACAAACAGCCGAACTCTAGCGCCAGCAACACGCTCGCCTCGTCTTGTCGCTCACCGGTTATGCCAACAAAGCACAAGGATTTGTTCGGTGTCCTTGTCACCTTGTTTGTATTTATTCACATATCATGTTAATATGTATTTAGAGGAGCTGTGACATCTTCTTCTTCTATGTACATGCATATGTACATGTGTATATGCACATACAGAGTCAAGCGTATAGTTTGAGTTGCACTTGTATGTAATTAACGCTTAGGTATTTCAGTTGATCTGAATCAGCAACACATTTGCATGCGCCATGTACATACATACATATGTATATGTATGTATGCATAATTTTGTAGAAACGTTGTTATTGCGCGGCGCGTGTAAATTACACACTTCTAATTGTGCGATGTTAAGTGCTGGAAATGAGGAGCTTCACGTGCGAATGCGCAATTCACCTTGGCATTTGTGTAGTTCCTAGTGTCAGAGCATTGACAGTGAGAATTTTTAATTATTTTTTATTTGATTTTTATTTTTTTATTCTTGCTTCATTGCATCTCATTTGCTCTTGAATTTGATTTCATCCGTTGAAAAGGAGAACTTACGCCCGTAAATATTTTTATAAGTGTGTATATTTTACGTACACATGTAAGTACATACATAGATTTTATTTTTGTTTTAAGTGATGCTTGTGCTTGATTTCTACCCTTTTCACTCACTAATTGGTGTGTAATATTAGCGTTTGGCTAGAGCTTTTAGTGCCTACGGTAAAAGGAAACCAAATTTGTGCGCATTTACTTAATTTACGATACTACACAGATACATATATACATATCTATGAAATCGATTTTATAAGATTGTAGTTCTTTTCAACAAAAATCCCTGTGAGCTAGAGAAGGAACCTCACCTATTTAAAGGCAACAGTCGGATTTTGCTGAGTATTGCAGCTGGAAGAAAGTAAAGTTGGACAAAGTTGCCTATAAAGAAGCCAACTATTTCTTAACTAATAGGCTGAAGGGGTGGAATTACATATATATCGCTTTATTCGTAAGGATTTGTGGAAATCTGCAAGCTCTGCAGGGCTTTTGCCAAAATTTAGCTTTTAACAAGAATTAACACTGCTCCACAAGGGGAATGGAGGGAAAACATTTCTGAGTCCGGGTTGGTCTATAAGTAGTGTGCAGTTACTAATCACGAGTCTGGTATCCCTAAGGCACCATTACGCCCATATATAGGGCTTGATGAATTATTTTTAATTGCTTTTAATTCAAATTTGCATGAACCTACATACATATACATACATATTATATACATATGACATATACATATACAATGCATTGTATATTAAACAAAAACTTTTTTTTAACTATCTCTGACATTTAACTTCCTAGTGGTAGTGAACTAAAAAATGTTATTCCTTTGTAAAGCAAGGCGTTTCATCTAAGTATAAGGCTTAGTGGAAGCTGACCTTTTTACTCAACTTACTCAAAATTGCTATTTACAATGATCTTTAGGCGAAAACTAAGAATATTAAAAATTATTTAAAAATAGGCGTAACCCCGCTTCTCCTTAATATTGAACAATTTTTGGTTCTAGCAAAGCATACCAAATGGCTAAACAAATTTTAAAATCGCACAATAACCACGCCGACATCCCATATAACGGTAATTTAGAAAAATACAAAAGCATTTGTTCAAAAGTGATGTTTGCAATAATTCTTTGGCAAAAAATGCGTTTATAACAAATTTTTGGAAAATGGGCGTGGTACCGCCCACTTATGACCACGATATAGGTATCTCGGTAACTGTTTAATAAATTTGTCCCAAACTCGGTACGACTATTGTACTTGCCACATAAAAGCGGATAAGTCTACCTGAACATACTATCGAAGATGCTTGCATTAGGGGTAAAATCAGCTCTAACGGTAGTTTTCGGAAATATGAAAAAACTGTAATTAATACGTGCGCCGGGTATTTAATGTTCGGCTTCGCTCGAACTTGAAGACGTTTTTACTTGTTATACTTAATTCTATCAAACGATGATCAAATACTTTAATTCAAATAATACATAGGTAAATCCATGTCAAATTGACCAATGGTTGAAATCTTCCATTTTGATTTGCATAAAGTTTTGATTCAGAGATTCAGGAGGTTTATTTTTTGAATATTTCAAAAACTAGTATAGTTATAAAAGTTTTCTCTCGTTTTAAAGGTGATATTTAGAGCTATTCCAAAAATGTATTTAAAAATTCGAATCGAAAACAAAATTTCAAAATCTTGAACGAAAATACCAAAATCGTTTTACTGCGGTTTTTACTTACTTACAGAAAAAGTTTTGTTTAAATTAAAAAAAACTGTGTAACAAAACTTTATTTACAGTTTGCAAAAAAAAAGTCTAAGTTCAAAAATTAATATCTTTAAAAACCACCTCATTGAAAATTGCAGGTTATTTTAAGATCAGTTGGAGGTAATGTGTAAAAATAAAGTGAACATTTTTATAAGGTTTTGTTCTACGATTTTTTTTTTAATTTCGTAGGTTTTGTAAATGTTTATATATTTTTGAATTGTTTGCATATAATCGTCTTTAAAACAAGACGAGAACTATAACAGTTAGATATTCAAAAAATTTGCAAAATTCCGGAAATTTAAAAGTTTGAAATTTTGCATAACATTCGCAGAAATTATTTTTAATTTTTCTTATTGGCGTTACATGATGAAAATGTTCGATTCGATTTGACATGGATTGGCCCACGTATATATTTTTTACTTTAAATTTTGAAAGAACAAAAGATTCCTAGCGGTCATATTTGGACGAGAAGTTTACCACTGTGCCTGTTAAGCTTTAATTTAAGAGAACTAAGAAGAAATCAGGATTGCATTACTTATATTTACGCAGCTGTGAATAGTTTTTGTTGAGGAAGCATTTTAGTTAACATTTAATGACTGGACAACATTTAAACAGGCTTGTGTCTACCAGACAATTAAAAGCGTTGCCAAAACCGAAAATGTTGTGAAATTTGCAGGAAGAATTTAAATTCGTACATAAAAACTTGTCAAACAGCCTTTGCATTATGTGTAACGCTGCGTATACGCAACATTTAACCGGAAAAAGATACTCAAGAAGACACCGAATGAGAATTGTAACATGCGAGAAGCAGTAAATAAGCATAAAAACATAACAAAAGTATACAGCGACTGTAATGAAAGCAAAAAAGGAATTGAAATGAAACTCAAGTTGGTGCGCACTGCTACACACATGGGCACCCATACTTACATACTTACATATAATACATATGTATGTATATGTAAACTAAGTATACTTGAAGAAGTGAAAGTAACGTAGAATACTGCTGCTGAAATTCCAGAAGCTGGACGGAATGAGCGAACGATGCGACAGATAGCGGGGGCGAAAATAACAATTAACAATACGATAATACTGCAGTGGTAACAGTGGAAAGAAATCATTTTATATGCCACACGTACGCCTTCACTTTGAGACGAATAAGTTTGCGAAATTGCGTACCGAATAAAAAAAGAAAAGAAAAGAAAAGAATACAAATGTAGCAGGCTGGCAGCGGCAAATTAAAGCCAAACAAAGCGCGCATACAAATGCAAATTGAGTGCGTGGCAGATGTGTATGTACGTGTGTGTAGCATTTGAGTGGGTTACGCACACGCCATGGCGTGCGGAAATGCTTCGAAAGAAAGTAAAGAAAATAGTTCGTTGGAAATGCGCACACAGACTCGCACAAGCGTACATATTTGCTCGTACAGAAGATTGCTACAAGTTTACTCAGCAGTGTTTGATGTGCGTGCGAGATCGATGTGAAGGGGGACGGAAAACGCGAAGGTGAAACTAAACATCTTGTTTTTTTGCACTGATGAGTTTGCCAATCGTTGTTTGTGCGAATGTGCACTCGAGTTCGGTATAGAGAAAATGTTTGCAAGCCTCTAGCGTTTAGTTCACCATTCTATTTTTTTTTTTTTGTGTAGCAAAGGTGTTCTAGTATGGGCTTCTTCGCGGTGAATTTATGAATGCATGTGCGCGTTTACGCAGCTTTAATTTAAGCATAGTGAAATTTTTCCGAATTGGAGAAGTGCGTTTCTCTCATGTATGAGTGTTTTTCCTGACTAGCGCTCTATAAAATAAATACATATCGTCACTAGACACGACTAAAGGCGCGCTAAGGTTTCGACGGCGAAAAACGACGCATACAAAAATTTGACGAAAAAAGGCGCTTAAGAAAAACTTCGGCGAAGAAAGACGCCTAACCTAGTTGACGGCGAAGAAAGACGCGTAATAATAGATTTATACTTGGCGAAGGACTGCCACTTCAGCACTATTCCCCAAAAACTATTAACGGAATGTACGTACTATTCCACCCGCAAACATAGTTGACTGCGAAAATAAGTTTACACGTCCTTCTTCGCCGTCAAATATTTTAAGAGTCTTCCTTCGCTGAAGTTTTTTTTATGCGCCTTTTTTCGCGGTCAGCTTTTGAGCTCGCGCCTTTATTCGTGTCTAATGGTGATATGGCCTTATTCATAAAAAATAAAGTAGGTTTAAAGAGCTGTATAAAATGACGTTTTCATAAATTTTTCAGTTTATAAAACTTTTTTAAAGCTACTTTATTTTTTATGAATAAGGCCATTAGTTTTCGAAAAAAAGTTGAATACTTACATTGAAGAATGAAAGAGAAGTTTGTGACATGTGTGATTTTCACATACTTTGCAGCAAACAAAGTTTAAAGAGCTACTTTGTATATCGCTTATGAGAAGCAGTACCAACTGGAATACTTCCGCTCTCCCAGAGAATTCAGAAATAGCAGCAAAACAAAGCGCTTGAATACAGTTAATCTAACAGCTCTGTGACCGAATAGTTTAAAGAGCGAATAGTGTAAACTGCTGTAATGTACAGAGACCCAGGTGAGCCGTAAAAGGTGCAAAGGAAATTGAAACTCCAGAATTTTATAGCAGAGCATTTCTGTTTTTGAACTCCCGCAAGTATTCAAAAGTATTATTTCTTGCATTGAAGAAAAAATGCGAACATTTGACCGTTTACACTTATTCATACGAAATCGAATTGTCTTTGCATCTATGCGTGTGACTGCATTCAGACTCGTAGCTCTGCAGAATTATGACTCAATTAATGACAGAAGGATTAGATTTTCTGCAAAAGCCGTTTGATATGTGATATCTTTGAAATGGAATCAAAAATTGTCATTCAAAAACTCATAAATCTACAAAATCCAATTTTCAGACCTAAATCGACAGGTCGCGACCTCTAAATTACCTTTAAAAAATCTATAAAAATAGGCAATAATATTTCTCTTAAAAACGAATAAAATTAGGGAGTAGAGTCTTGAAATTTCGAAAAAAAGCATTTTCGATGGGCACCCTAATGTACATACATACGAGAACCAGTTAATTTCATTTAAAGAAATGGCCTGTCGTCCGTTTGCGCTGTTGCGTATGTAGAGCATATTTTGAGACGCAATATATAGCTACTTGCGGCGAGGCGACATCTACCTCTAGAGTTTTGATATGATACCTAGCGGCGAGGTTGATATCTAGACTTTTTTTTATAGGATCTTTGCAAAGCAAAGTTTTTATAGCTATAAATGGTGTCTGGACAAACAACATTGTAAATTGAAAAAAACGTTGTAATAAACAACTTTAGGCCGCAGTCTTCTAAAGCCACCCCTCGTATATGTAAAAAATATTTTTTTTTTGGTTTTATACTGACGTTGGTATAGCGCAATGTATATGAAGAGGCTCGTATGAAACTCCCGTGAAGCTGTCTCCCCGGGAGACCTGGTGCACAAAATTTTCTTTTGTTAATAGAAAAATAAGAAGTCACCAATATAGTTATGTAATTGCACTACTCTACAAATTTCCTTGCAAAAAGGTATGTTGATAAAAATCTCAGCGTGTTCAAATGTCCTTCCTCGTTCGTACCGTTTCTTGCCATCCCCCTCGCTATTCAAACACAAGCATTCCATCAGATAAACGCTGCTAATTACATAAACGTGTGCAGCTTCATTACCTGCATGCTGTGCGCGGGTGTGTGCGTGCAAAATGTTGCAACTTGATTCCCTTTCTATTCAGCAATTCAAATATTTCCCTTTTTGTGCAAAAAAAGTTCTTATCTTTGGCAGCGTTTGATGGGCGCTTGGGGCGCTGCTAACTTACCAACTGACACATAGCTTAATTCGATATCTTCATATTTGCGCTCGCTTCTAGCTGGACGTTAAATTTGCCCGCTTAGTGGCGTTCGCGGAAATGTCGTTTTTGCCTTCATTAATCGTTTGCAAATTTCACTATTCCTCCTTTTTTTCTCTCAAACATTTTATCCACTTCTCAGTTTTTTCACTGACATCCGACTTAATTAATGCCCTTTATTCGTGTGCGTTTTTTTTCATCTTCTTCTTTTGTTTTCATTCTGTTACGACACGCTTTTACGTGTCACAAGCGGTTTGAAGTTTTTTATGCGCTGTGCTCTCGGACCATTTCGACCATTTTGCCAACCTGCGCTCTGGAGTCGCTATCAAATTTTCTGCCACATTTTTTGTGAGCTGAAAAATTTTATGAATTTTCGAAAATTTTTGCATTAAAAAACTTTGTTCGCATAACGCTTGCGGCGTTTTGTGCATTTTCATATTTCGATTGCTTTGGTCGCCCGAGGGATGGTGACCCAAGTAACTTTGAGTGAGTAAAAAAGTTTGCATGATTGTAGGTATATAAGTATGTCGGTAGGTGCGGTGCGGCCAGTGGGAGGCGGGGATTTGAAATCTGGCATGTGAGACCATCAAATATTCCATAATTTTGTGAGCATTCATTTATTAAATTAGCAAAATGTAGCAGAATGACTTGAACTTTTTCGGCTGATAAAGATATAAAATATAATATAAAGGCTTACGCTTTTCTCGTATGGAATATGTATGTTTGTATACGCTCGTGCCTACGAACTTTCGAACTAGATAAAAAGTGAAAATCATGCAACATTCATTTATTTAATTTCATAGCTACAGCTGAAATTGGCAACTGCAGTTTGCAGCTATTCAACATCGAGCCTTAAATGGCTAAATGCTTTATGTTGCCTTGTCTGTTTGCTTGCAGGCAGCAGCCTGACTGCCACACTTGACCGGTATTTGCAACTTGGAGCACCAATTACGCGGTAACCACTTAATTGCTGCTGTCTAACTTTGCCCCGAACTCTGTCATCCACCATCCCTCCATTCGGTCTGCCTGCACTCCAATCATCCTAAGATACTCTGTACTAATTTTCGCCATTGTGCTGACCTCCTTCGCTTGCCACACTCCTTGTTAAATTTTGTTGCTGTTCGTTCTTGAGTGAGGTTGGGGAGCTTAAATAAGCACTTCAACGTAAGTTTGCATACACTTCCATTTTTGAAAAGATTTTTCGCTCTAATTTTATTTCATTGCATTCCCTCAATATACTCGGCAAACTGAGAAGTAACAGCGGCTTATGATGTGCCACTTGTCCGTCCGATTTTCTTAGCACGCTTTTCATTTACTCCTTCGAACGACTTTTTTTCTACATAGGTATTGCACTCACCGCATCAGCTGGAAAGCCAATGAGAAAGTTTTCAAAGAATTTTTTTTTTTGTTGCAAGTGCAGCAAGTCTTCTATATTAAGATTTTACATTTTGTACTTCAACAAAGTACGCTTCTCGAATTGGTGGAAATATTTCTCGTCAAAGTACACATTTTCAGCTGTTTCAAACAAATGTTTACTAGCTACTTTTTGCCATCGACCGCCACCAGTGTCATCGTTACTGTTGTTCGTCATATCCAGCACTACGGGCATAATTCACGTAGCCGTTCATAACCACATCATCGCCAACACCCTCTTGTTTCGAGTTTCTTTACCACTCTACGGCCTTTCTCTTTGGTAGGAATTGTCTGTAAATTGCCAAACCCACAAATAACCAATCTGGGTTATAACTAGAATCGCAAATCGCAGTCTATAATTTCAAGGCCGAAAGCTTTAGAAAACTCTGTGCGAGCATAAATTGACTTATGCATTGCTGAATGAAATTAAAAATTCAACCGAACGCAATAAAGTCGATCAAATATTAAAAGAGTTCCCATAAAAGTAGTGAATCGAAGGATTTTTAGTTTACGGTTTCTGAAAATCCTCTTGAATCGGAATCAGTCTTATTTATTAGGAGGGTAACGATTCCTCAATATTGAGGCGAAGATTAGGAAAGCAACAGCTGTTACGCACTGTTGTAAATAGGCCCTTTAGGAAAAGATGCGTCACTTCTCAGCAACTTTATGTTTTTTTTCCTGAAGATACAGACTGCTGCAATCCCACACTGGGTCTACGAAAATACTTCTCCAATTACATCTAGTGAAGGTATACATGGTTGGGAAGTGAAGTGTGGGGCCAGCGTCAAGCAAACCTACTGAAAAATAGCGCCCTTAGTCACTCGTTCACAGTGATATATCAAATAACTTCATTCACCATGCGAAGAGGTTGGACGGTATTCTTGAAAGGATTTTTCGAAATAGCGATGAAATTTGACTTTATCCCTTTGGGCCAGCTCAGAGAACGCTGCGCAAAAGCAATGATGTGAAGAACTGTGAAGCCCTTCAGACCAGGAGAGAATCGAAAGAGATCGAATAATCAAACTGAGCGGAAACTTTTAATGTTGTTCGGCGCTTAATTGACCATTGTTCGATGAAAAATCATGCGGCTAGTTTCTTTATTTGAATATCTTTCTGAGGTAACTGCTTATTTAGAAGTGGATATTGACAACTTTCGATGATTCAAGGCCGTTTATGCGTTGGTAGCGACGAACATCAAATACGATAGAATGATGGGATATAGTGCAGTATATTATAATAAAGCGGCTCTACTGGCTTGAACATGACGTACACTGAAAAAGTAAAGCCATGGAAAGACCAGGTGAATTTGGCTTGATTTCAAAAACGGTGGCGCACCAATCGACAATACGCTTTAAAAGAATAAAATTGAAGTAGATTGACTTAGGGCTCCGTTTGGGGCTAGCACTGAAGTGTTTTGATAAAAAACGACGATATCGTTTTGAGGTAAAAATATTTACTTTTTGAATATCTTCGCTTAAAAAATAAATAATAAAAAAAAAAAAATCTAGAATATTGGCTTGAATAAATGTGTATAGTGCTCTTCACATGTACTCTTTAGTATTCATGAGTACCCACTGAGTGCATTAGAGTGCCGTATTCTTTAGGCACACACACATACAAATACATATACACATGAAAGTCATCCTCTTGCTATTTGAATATTTAAAGCAATAAATATTTTTTACATTTTGTTTTACTATTTGTTATTTTGCTGCTTTACATATAACACAAACATATACTAATATATGTATGTATGTACGTTGTATTTTCTTATATTGTGGTCGGCTTGTGCAACAGAGTGGCACTTGAAAATGTGCTCAAGTTTATTAAAAATGTAGACAAATTTTATTTGAAAATACTTTACCGCAAATGTTATGCGAGTATTGTGGAAAAATAAACTTCCATGCAAATGCATGTATATATCTAAAAGAAAGGTACATAAAACAAGGGGTGAACTATTGGTGACTGCAGATGCCTACAAGCTGCTGTAAGTGTGTAAATGTTAGTGGTGGAGTTATTATCCTGAAATTAGTTTCATAAAGTTTCCTAAAAATTTATTTATGTTTAAGGACCAACAACCAAAACGGGAATTTTAAGGAGATAATTTGTTATGCATTTGCTCTTCTAAAAATGGCTTCTTAAATGAATAGCTTGGAATTTAATAATCTGAACTAAAACTGAGTGTATGCGTCCACAGCAACTAGGCTATCAAGTTACACATGTGCAAATTTTTACATGAAAAATTGATTTAAAATATCTAAGCTATTATAAGTCGCAAATTTATGTTCTATTGTAGTTCTCTCAAATCCAATCAATCACAAAAACCGATTTTCGTTGAAATTTTACAGTAGCATCAACAATTGAAATAGGTTTGGTCGAGATACTTTGAGTCTTGTGAATAAAACAATAAGCAATTGTTTTTTCTTGAAATCTCAGACCTTTTATTAAAATTTGTTTGAATAAATCGACAAAAAGGTCTGAAATTTTAAGAAACAGCAATTGCTTAGTTTTTACTCATAAGGCCCTTTGTGGTAAAATTTTTTCTCCATTGATTATTTTCATTAAAAAATGCAGTGTTTCAAAATATTTATCAGCTCATTTGTTAATATATTTATCCATTGTGAAAACATAGTAACGTAAAAGCGTTCTCTCAGTTGGGCGGCAAAAGATCAATTGTGGCGTAGGCTGTGGGAAATTTAGGGCCATCCTGCTAAAACCAAGATTCGTCAAAGTCCATTCATTAAATTTTCGGCTATAAAAAAAATCGTTTAACGTCCCTCTGTGCCGGGCATTGCCTGATGAGAGGCTGAGCTCTCCAACCATCGACTTTTACCGCAGTTGCAGAGACGATAAAGAGGTGGAGATCATCGAATATTATCTCCGCCTCTGTTCCGAACTAGCCAAAAGGCGCAACCATTTCTTCAATAAGTATTTACTTTTTAGACTGCTTAATTGACAAAAACTCGGCACGCATTCTCAATACTAAGGTAATGGCATTACAGCGGGATTTTTTAACTTATGTGTGCCTCTGCGCTTTAG